CATGCTTTGTGCTGCATCATCGCTTCTGTCTGCTTTCTCCAGTAATGCGGGGGCAGAGTTAGCCGAGTTTTGTCGGAGCTGTGAACACAATCGGCACCCCATGTCTGTTCGCAACCTTCTTGAGGTTATGCGAGAGTATGTGCACGTATGGTACCGCTTCAGGCCTCACATTCCTCAGTGTTGACTGCATCCTTTTTCCAGCAGTGTGTCCCTTCACTCTTTGCAGTATGGTTTCCGCCACACTCCTCAAGACCGAATCAGGGAAGCCCGCTAACAATAGCCGAGCCAATAGACTACTTCCATAAAGCCCTGCATGCAACACGGCGCGCGTTGCACTCTGGGAACTAGTTGGCCAGGGGGGAGGGTGGCATGGTTTCGGTTTCGATCGACACGTCGACAAGAGATTGTTTTCTGGTCCCGAGAGCGTCATTTGTGGTCTCTAAACTAACCTAAATGGTCATACCTCGAAGCTTTAGCACAATCCCGAGACGTATAGCTTGTCTTAACACATGCTTGTTGTATTTTTGTACTTTGAGCCTTCCTGTTAGCGTTCCAATCGAGGTATGTGGACGAGCCAGTGCTGAAAGTCTCGACGCTGCGAAGCTCAGATGCTCGGGGATCTTGCTTGTGTACGAATCAACTAGATGTAGCAACCAATAAGTATGCATACATCGAGCTCGCGCCTTTACATTAGTGTTGTTGATCAGGAAGTTTGCTTCGTGCGTCCATAGACGAAATATTACTTTTTGCAATTACTGTTTTTCTTAATGTGACTTAGTACGCGAGGTAAAACTCGGAGGTGCCATTGAAAACTCAATTTTAACACACTTATCTCTTATCTGTACTGACCCGCAGCACTGCACAAAGTCCCCACCCACTTGCATTCCCCTAATATTCAACATCGCGTATGCGCATTAAGTTATCCTGCAATCATATGCAGAGGGCAAGTTCGTCTGCTTCTTGCGCAGGGGGGTAGCGGTGACGTCAGAACGCCGAGCCCTGATTGGCTGATCGCGACCCCCTATCTGAGCGTCGTTTGCTCCTTTGCAACGTCGTCTGCTCGCAACGTCGTCTGCGTCTGTCTTACCTTTCCGGTGACTTTCGGAAGTGCAGGCGACGATCTTCTGCTAAAAATGTGCGTAAGACATAACTTAAGAACAAATTCGTACTCACGAAACGAAATTTTCGTACGTTTTGCGCAGGTTACGACGAAATCCTACGACATCTCCCAAGCTGTTTTACGCACTTCTTACGATCAAATCCCATGGCCGACAGCGTCGCGGTCGCGACGACCCACGAACGTTTATTTTTCTTCGTGCCCTTCTCACACGTCCCGACTTCAAGCAGCAAGAAAAAAGTACTTGAAACAGACCACGGCGAACAAGAACGCTGGATCCACAAACACCCGGGAAAAGCTCCAACGGCCACGATTCCACCGAACGCGACCAAGCGGGCACGGCAGTTAGGCCTAGCAGGCACTCCGCGACTCGGCGACCGTCTGCCCACGACCGGCTGGTGTGCTGAATGGAATATGCCCGCGCGACCCTTGTGAACCCTTCCCGTATTATACTTTGATCGCTGACCTCAGTTTTAGATTTTTCTTCCTCTTGTTACCTCCTTGTTTCCCGAGGCAACGGTGACTCTCGCCGGTGAAAAAGCGGTGAATCTCCGACAGACGCAGGAAAGGTAAAGCAGCCATCGCTTTGACTAGCAGACGACGTTAACTGCGCCAACCCGCCGACGCCGTTGAAGAATGAGGGGTCTCGCCGCACACGAAAGGAGGTAAAAAGTATTTGGGAGGGAACTTGCGGACACTAACACGCTCACTCTCAGTTCTGAGCAAACAAATTTCGGCGCCTCGGAACACCTCGCCAGTGAGTCCTTTGACTTCCCTCCTTGATGCGCGTCTGCTAGTTGTTAGACAAAAACAACGTACCGCTCGAGTTATTTCGTCTGCCCTCTCTGAAAGGCGAAGTCGAGCTCGCTCGTAAAGACCTGCACTTCCGAAAGTCGCAGGAAAGGTAAGACAGACGCAGACGACGTTGCGAGCAGACGACGTTGCAAAGGAGCAGCCGACGCTGAGATAGGGGGTCGCGATCAGCCAATCAGGGCTCGGCGTTCTGACGTCACCGCTACTTCCTTTCTCATGCGCAGAAGACGAAAATGAGCACACTTGCGACGCACCGTTCGCCGGTAGTGCGTCGGACCGGCAAGAACCCCTATGCGCACCGCATTGGGGTTCATGCATGACCGTCCGGCGCACGGTGCGACATTCTTCAGACAAGTGCTCGAACGAATTCAAAGCGCACTTGACGGCTGCTAATGGCCAAAATATTTGTTATGTGTTTGCTTTCTTCCTGCCTGAGTATGCCGAGATAATTTCAGACACACCGTTCCCGGCACAGATCTCGGGCGTCAGTAAAAGCTCGTCCAAAAAGGCTTAGCGAGGAGTAGGGGACGCTTGTTAGGGCCTCAGTCGTAGCTAGCCGATCTCAGCGTTTGCGAAAAGTTAATCTTCTATCAGCATAAAATTCTAGTGGGAGATATATGATGACACGAGGAAGACATCATAGTAACTTTTGTGCAGTAGTGAGGTCGAATTTATTGCGTTTCCTTAAAGGGGCACTGACACCCCAAAGGTCGTACTCTTTTTTATTGTCTAAAACGATGCAAGTTGTAGTCATAGACACGCAAAAAAAACCGCATCGCGAAAAAAAATTTCCCCCCGCGCGCGCGCGCCTTTTTATTTTTGGCGTTTATATTTCCCGCGCTCACCTCCTTGCTTCTTCTGATCGGTGACGTCAAAAATCAGGAAATTTAGAAGCTTTGTTGGCGACATTTCTATAACATTTAATAACGACAATCGTAAAACATGTTTTTTAACGCAATGACGAACGCACTGCGGCCTTTATTTTTGAAATACCAAAAATCAGATTTCGGTGTGATGTCGCTTCCTGGATTTGTGCTCTCCTTCGGAAAACTTGGCGGCGCTCAAGCAGAGGCTTATCGCCCTTATCGCCGAGCCGGGGAAAAAACCGTTTTTTCCCCGCGCCGGCTCCCTTCTATCCCGCCTGCTCACCTCCTCCTCTCTTCGGGTCGCGGTAGCAACGGCGCTTTGCTTCACAGCGTGGTGCGGAGGTCCGAAAGAAAGTCGAGTCGCAGGAGACCGCAAAATTTGACTCACTGCACTGGCGCGGATCGCGCGGGAACTTCAAATCTGGCATTTGGAAATTGTTTTTTTAATTCCCAAATACTGAATTCCCAAGTTTCGAATATTGAGGGTAATGTCCCGGCATCATTTTCAATCGTTTCGGATAATAAAATAAATTACGATTTTGATGTGTCAGTGCCCCTTTAAAAGTTCATGCGTAAACGCTGGCCGCAACTTTGATACCCTGTGAGGATGCGGCTTGCTTTTCGCCCAATGAAGTAACGAGAAGCGGACGTTTGGCAAACAAAATGCGTGTAAGGCTCCAGACGAACAAATTTCAGTTGTAGTTCACTGGTACTAGACGGGATTACTGACATTGAGCTCAAAGATGCACTCGTGGGGTGAGGTGACTAAGCCACGACTTACTACGTTCGCATACGTACGCACAATATCCGGTGTTCGGAAACCAAGGAAAGTGCCCCGGTCTTCGTTTTGTATCGCTCGAGAATGAGTGTATTGTACGTTCGTGAAAAGTCAGATAATCGAAAACGCAAGCAGCGCGTTCGGTCGCGGCGAATAGCATGAGATGAAGCTGCTCAGTCGAAACCGAAACTGAGTGGCCAACTAGTTCCCAGAGTGCACTGCGTGGTATTTCGCCGCGATGGGGCGCGTCAGTTTTGGAAGAAGTTCATTGATTGCTAAAGCTTGACTGTGACTGTATCCTGTGAGCAAACGGGCGGCCTTCAGTTTTTAGACTTGAACCTTTTGTCCTTGGAAGAACACGTTTGTTGGATGTATTCCCCGCGGTCTCGAAAGGAACTCCTGCCGTATGACTCAGCCCATTCAAAGCTAGTTAAAAGAGGAATTGATAAGCTTTTCTTGAGTCCGCCCTTAAAAAGTCGTGTGCTTACAGGATACAGGCAAGCTTTAGCAACCAATTGGCTCGACTATTGTCAGCGAGCTTCCCTGATTCGGTCTTGAGGTGTGTGGCGGAAACCATACTGCAAAGAGTGAAGGGACACACTGCTGGAAAAAGGATGCGGCCGGTCAACACTGAGGAATGTGAGGCCTGAAGCGGTACCATACGTGCACAAACTCTCGCATAACCTCAAGAAGGTTGCGAACAGACATGGGGTGCCGATTGTGTTTACAGCTCCGACAAAACTCGGCCAACTCTGCCCCCGCATTACTGGAGAAAGCAGACAAAAGCGAGGATGCAGCACAAAGCATGCCAGGCCGTTTGTTGGCTGCAAAACAGAAGTCGTCTATGAAATCCCGCTCACGTGTGGGAAGACATACGTGGGGCAAACGGGAAGGTGTGCCAACGACCGTCTCAGGGAGCATGCTCAAAATTTAAAGACTAAGGCACATTTGCCTGCATGCACACTGTAGAAACTACGTGTGAGCCACGTTTTTCTGATACTGGAATTTTGGGTGGAAGTAAGGGACAAAAAGCACGCGAGCTGTTGGAAGCCTTCTTTATCAAAAAGAAAGGCGACCTATGTGTGAGCGCGCGATACCTCGATAAGTTTGTATAATGCTGAAAAACGCTTCGTTGATAAGTTTCTGTGACGAGCGTGTGATAGTGACACGACGCATGCGTGGACGCATTGAAGTTGACGATATATCTGTATGTTTTCTAAAGGTTTCCTCAATACAGTTGCAAGTTGCGCTCGTGTTTGTTTCTCTCTCTTGTGTCCGTCTTTTTTGTGCAAAACCATGTATCCAAACGAATGGGACAGCCGAAGAAGCCGTAGAGGTGGAATCATACTTCGGTTTCTATTCTAGGTGGCGCGGGCTACTACCCATTATGAAGGGTACTACCGTTAGCATCCATCCAACGAGCTCGTTCTGAGCTTGTTGCATCCATCCATCCATCTTGTTCAGCTGTTTCATTTTTCTGAAACGGCGGTGATTTCAGGCTGAGGGTATCATCAGAGAAGATGAAAATATATTATTACTTTGGTTTTAACAAGTTCAACTGTTTCACTGATAGAGTGAACCAGCCTGCAAAAGTGGTTCCCGACGAGCTGTCAACTGCTAAAACCGTGTACATCGGGTGGTCGAACGCAGTCTGCGTCACCGGCAAGTCTTCAGTTAAATGTTTAGTTCTGTTCGTACGTATTTTATGAACGCAGATGTTCACTTTGAAGCCGCTTTTTCGCGTTTCAGAGGACGGGAAGCCGTACCTGACCGGGTTCTTGCCGCAACGTTGCGAGAGGAAGGTGGAACTACTCAAGTACTCCTCCGAGGACGATGCCGTATCGCACGCGGTGTTGGGGCAGTGTATGTTGTGCGTCATTACTCGGAGCGGCGGTGCCTACGTGTGGCACGACTTGGACTCGCAGCCAGAGCGAATTCCTAGCGCCGGCAAGGTGAAAGACGTCGCCTTCGGAGACGAGGAAGGAGTCGTACTGCGGCCAGGTACGAACCGTATTCATACGTGTTTTTCCCTGCACGAGTAGTAAACAACCCCGTTTCATTCATATTTTAACTGGAGATTTTGGGGGGGGGGGGGGGGGGGGGGGGGGGGGGGAAGAGAGGAGAGGAGGAGGAGGAGGAGGAGGGGGGGGGGGAAGGGAGGGAGGGGAGGAGGAGGAGAGGGGAGGGGAGGGGGAAATAACCAGAGAGCATCAAGGACAACATGGTATATCATATAATATTTACCGTTAACCCGAGACTGGGGCAGGAGGAAAAATGTGCTGTGGTAAAGGAAAAGAAAAAATAGTGGTAGACGTTTTATATTTATGTTGTCCTTTTTGTCTCCAGTTTCCAGGGTTAAGTATATTAAACAGGTTCTCCTGTGCCACCGCTTTTACTGGCGTACCATTCCTTGTTGCTCGTTGGCGTGTTTCATCTTGCGGCAGTGATATCTTACTCTACAGATTTTATATGATATTAGAGTAAATCTTCCCTAAGGTGGAGAAGATTTCCGCAAGAATAAATTGACTTTCACCTGAAATGGAGTGAAACTCGCCACCTCTAGGTGACAGGGGATGCTGATAAAATCCGCCTGATCTGGCGTTCGATCCGAGGACCTTACCCAGACTAGCAGCGCTCTCTACCAATCGAGCTAAGCAGGAGTTAGCCATCAGTAGAGCAATCGGATGTTAACAGTTGCCACCAATCTTGGACCGTAACCACCGACAGATTTTTTAGCAGCCACCAGTCACCCAGAGGGCGCGAGTTACACTCTATTTCAGGTTAAACTCAACTTATTCTTGCACAAATCTTCTCTACCTGGAGGACTTGCCCTAAAATCGTTATATCAAATAGTTAACATCTGATTTCACCCTAGTGTGGCTGTGATCAAAGACTGGTGGCAACTGGTGGTTGAAGAGGCCCTGCAATCCTATTTAAGCGTCTACCTTTTTTGCGGTTTCCACATCTCTTGTGGTTTAGGGGAACCCAGCGGGCACTGAAAGAGTAACTAAATATCAGTGTGTCATATGTTAACCCGGACGATACGGAAGCCTTTTCCACCTACGGGGGCGCCCCGTGGAACCAAATGCGCGTGGCATGTGACGACATGGTGACGTTGTTGGTCCTGGCCAGGACCAACAACGTCACCATGTCGTCCTGGCCTTACAACTGGTCAGAGCCGCTAAAAGCTTTTTTTTAGCCGAATTCAAAATATAAGTGGCTTGAACTATTTCAATTATTTATGAAAGTATTTTTTGTTCAGTATTTTAGATCAGAAAAGAAACAAATGCAGTTTATAAAGTATGGAAACAAGAAATGACTCGTCGACATACCAGCCACAAAGCAGTGGAAAAGGCGGCGCATACTAGAAAGGTGTAGTGGGTGCTGTGGATGTACGCGGTGGTACTGCGGTCGTATGGGCTGGAGGATCCGACCGGTTCCGAGTGTTCCGAAGGCCTTCGGCGAGCAGCTTTGACTTGCGGTTTGGCCGTTTCGCGGTTTGGCAGCGCGAACTGGCTCCCGTTATGAATTGATATTTACCCCATGTTTGGCTATCATTTGTGGCCAATGAAGTGTCATGCCAAATTAGTGTTTAGTCGTGCAGCAAATACTATGCGAGGCGCCCTGGCCGCCCGCTTTATCCAGCACATGCTTTAGTGGCGCCCTCTTGAGCCGTCAACATGGAGTGCAGCAGCCATGAGCGCTCGCTGAGCTCACTACCCCTCCTCTAGTTTACGGCCACCCAAGCCAGGACCAGGGACGTCATGAAGGAGGTTATTTTTTGCTTGTTTTTGTAATTTTAATTCGCCTATAAGTTTTAAAACAGAGCAAAATTCGAGAAAAGAAAATTTTACTAAGTTACAAAGTTCATTGCACTCAGGTTCAGCTCAAATTAAAAATTAGTCAAAAAGTTGTTGCAGGGCCTTTTTAAGGTGAAACCCCACGCTTTGTTAGTGGGATTCTGAATGAACAGATAGCAATGGGATCACATTCCAGACCCGTACATTAACACAAATAATCGTGTGTGGTGGCACTTGGACAGTGTGGAAGATTTCTTTTTCCTGTAATTGACATCCCTGGTTGTTCACTTGTTTCTCTATCCACAAGCTTTCTGTGGAACGTGCCCCGGCTGCACCAGTTCTCGTGCAAAGGAACCAGTTGCCTACGCTATGAGCTTGCATCTCCAGGAAATCTTGTCAGAATAAGAAGCGCAAATCGTCTTGAGCTAATGGCGAGACCAGTGCATGACAAAACGATCGACGAGTCGAGAAATGTGAGATTGGCAGTGCGCAGTTAGCACACCGGTTATCTCGGCAGCCAATTCCACATACTTCAACGTGGTCAGATTTGAATGATAAGTCAGCCGTTTCATCCTGCATATGTTTGGCTTTCTGTGCGGCCGAGAAAGTGAGGGAGAGGAGGAGACAAGAGCGCGCAGAGATGTAAGAATGTTGAGCTCGTGTTGGAATGATCAGTGGGTAAACATAAAGATAGCTGCCTTTGTCTCCACCGCACTCGTTGAACGTGGTCGAATGCGACAGCCAAATGCCGGACGCCGGCGTTTTGTGTTCTAACCCAGTAATCATTCCAACGAGAACTCGGCGTTCTGACCATCCCCTCTCGGCTCCTCCTCTCTCCGTTTCTCATTGCATAGCTTTCCAGAAAAACGTGATGATGTGATGTACCTGGGTTTCCAGAATTCTAGCTTGTGGAAATAAATACCTCAAGAATTAGAAACAAAGAAGCTATTTTTTTTTGGTCAGACGTGTCATTTTAGGTCATTGAGGTGTTTATTTTTACCAGTACCATTGAAACTGGAAAACACAGATACAAGACCATTAGCTGTAAATATTCAGTTTGGGTAGCCCAAAGTAGGACTGGTACTGGAGTCTTGCACTTAATACATTACAAAAGTAATTCCAAAGTTTAAAAAATCCCTCGCAGCATTAAATGATTAGAATTAGTTTGAGTACTGAGTGCAGTGACAAATAAAATGACTGACCAGTCAAAGGTTATTGCTCTGTGGATAGCTATTCTACAGAGTTTGAGCAATGTGGCACTCTTAGTTTGGCTATTTATCCAAACCAACCAGTGGTGTCCAACAAATAAAAAAAAAAAAAAAATATGGAATCGTGGAGTGTGACGTTATATTGAATATGGTGTATGCACACATGCCACGCGCGCTGAGGAAAACCGGAACAGTGCTACGTTTTATACTAGTCTTAAGCGTATCGAAAGGTAAGGGTGCATCAAAAGCGAAAGGTTGTACACATACTGCTCAGGCACAGACGTTTACATTGTCATAGTACCTTATTACCTACAGGTTTGGTGTAAGCTGTCTCTTGATTGCTTCTAACAGAGCAAGTGGAAGTATCCTAACTCAAACACACTTGAAACTCTAACCACGCTTTAATAAAAGCAAAGATCCCGACGTTTTGGGGCCAACTCGGCCCCTTGATCACAAGCGACTGTCTCTGTCTCGCGGAACGGCCTGCCCACGATCCCGAACACCCCCGGGGGCTCTCCGGATTATCCTTCTTAACCCCGAAACGTAGCTGCTCGGTAGGGTCCCCGTCGACCGGTTTATATTGCCACGTGTGCATGTAATATGCGACGACTCCAATGGAAGGCACTTCTGCCAGTTTGTCTCCATTCCGAGGATGGCGCTGTTGTCAAGGTCAATGGGGTGGTTTGTCTTCTCGACGTGTTCAGCCAGCGCACTTCCCTCCACATTCTTCTTCACAATGTCGTAGCGGTGGGGCCGCAGGTGCTCTAGATAGTTCTTAGTTTTTCCACGTATGACGCGGAGCAGTCACCGTAGGGTATTTTGTAAACCAGTCCCTGTGCCCTCTCCCTCGGGGCCGATCCTTTGGTAGGGGGAGAAGGCCGCCAATTGTCGAGACTGGCTTTTGTGAGACTACTATGCTGTACTGTCGTAGTACTCGGGTGAGAACCTCGCTTGTGTATTTGATGTAGGGTACACACACCAGGAGCGCTTGGTCCACACCACCGAAGGTCACAGGATCATTGAGCAGACCGAACATCGCCTGCTCGACGCCTGGATTCAAGAATGCCAGGAAATTGTCAGGAAGAAGGTCTTGGATCGTTTCTTTTTGCGGAGACAACTGGAATACTGTGCTCCGGAGCATCTTCCTGCCATCGACGACTTTGCCAGATCTACTGCTACGTCGGCTGCTGAGAGGAGTTTGGACCACCCGAAGAAGCTCGTATCTCTCCAATTGCGTCTCGCCGTCTCCCAAGAGACCGACAAGAGGTTTGTGAAAAATCTGTCTTCGAGAGAACTCTCTGGCACCAAGACTCGTGTACTGGCAAAAAGAAAAAAGTTTGATCTAACCACAACCACGGTGCCTATTGCTTTGATGGCAGCTGCTGTCGAATATGGCCCGCACGAATTAGACCCCTGCATCCGTGAAGAAGCCCGCCTCAAGGCTATCGGCGTGCTGTCCAAGGCGCACCGACAGGAGCAATTAAATTACATGCCGGAAGAGAAGGGAGCCATTCAGAACTTGAGAGAAGACAAGAGCATCGTCATCCTCCCTGCCGACAAGGGTATACGGGATTGGAATGCACTACCTGAGTTCATTGTGACAATTACTGATCATGCCTTGTTTTTAGCAGAACTTACTAAGCATATGATTGTATAATGAAGATATTGCACTGTAAAATAACAAATGTTCTTTCAACCTAATTGTCCCTACATTTGATTTCAACCCTTGAAGTGTTATACTGTGTTTTATGTTACCCCCCTTATGTAATGCCCCAGGGGCCCTTAAGGTATAATAAATGAAATGAAATGAAAAACCGTGCTGCTCGACCTTGCAGACTACGATGAGAAGGCGCTTCAACCTCTCAACACCAACACATACATGATTCTGCCAAAGGACCCGACTACCAAGATTGAGTGAAGTCTAAACAAAATGCTCTCTACGATTTTTAATAAGTAATCGACTCCCGAGGCCTCTACATCGGTCTCATTTGCC